ATGAAATACCATTAAATATAAATTTAGTCATCAGTTTAATAAATGATAGAAAAGGGGTCCTTAAGGAAAAAAGGTAAGGAACCACTGATGTAAAACAGTACAGTTCAAATTGAAAAAAAGAGCTTTTATTATGCATGAGCACTGTTGGAGCTCAAGGGTTCAAGGTCAAGGGGGGATCACTTTATTAAACAGCCAGCAGTTGCTGCCATGGCCGCCGCCGCGGAGTGGCAGCCCTTCAGCAGCTCCTAGTGTGCAGTGATCTTTTTTACTTTTATTATTTTTATTGGTTTGTTTTTGCTTTTTATATTGACATTTGTGCCTTGTCACATCTGATCAACTTCTATCCAATAGATATGGATATTTATTTACCCAAACTCGTTTATTCGAGAAAACAACTTCTGATGCTGAAGACAAAGTCCTGGGCCGATGTTGTTTCTTCCAGTTACCTGAACAAAATTTAATATCGGGAATTATTCGGTCTTGTTTAATAATCTTTCCTCTGTGTGGTACGGCGCTCTCCAGCATTTCAGCCTCGCCCCATGAACGCAGCATAGGTCGCAGAAGTCTTCAAAATTCTCCCGGCATCGCTGGCCTCCTCTCATGAAGAAAACTCCATGAATGCTCGGACATCTCTGCTGCTTCTTCATCTAGCTGCATGTAAGACTGCCTGCTAGCCGGCGCACTATGCCGGAAGCTTCCTGTTGTCCGCTGTTCGGCGCACTCAGCTGAAAAAAACAAAGTCTCCACCGTCATTTGAATGCTCACAGTCCGCGCCAGGTCTCAAGTGCAAGCATCCACTCCTCGCTTAACACACCCCACAACGCTACGCTAACTGGTTGGTTCGCTAACCGTGCTAACAAAGCAAAACTTGTCAACACCCCATGGTTACCTCGGCTGTTAACACAAGCAGATTCATGCTACAGTAACAGCCTTGGGCCATCCCCAAGAAATTACTGTGTTTACTATGCAACGCCCCAACAGGTGAAACAGTAGTGAATATTGGCCGATATTATCGGACATCCATAATTATAACAATTCATACCTAGTAAAAGATTATTCAGTTATACTCTAAGTTAGGTTATAATAAATGTATGTATTCCAGAAAGTTTCAGATGAGGGCCATGCATACACTTGCTACCCCTAACTGCTTTAACTAAACTGCAAGACCAAAACTTTGTTTGTATTGTATTCTTTTTAAAACCCCTCTGCAGTGCATGCTCAGGGTTTTCATTTGGGATGATGTGTTGGACCACTCACCGATGGATGATGACCAGGACCAGTCCATTGCCAAAGAGGCTGAAGAGAAACATAAAGTAGAAGAGGATGGACAGATGAGCTCCCAGCTGGTTGTCACTGTCCCTGTTACATGGTGCGACAGGTGGGAACGGGTCATCAGTGTAATCGTAGTCATACGTTGTAGTTTCCATCATGGTCTCAGATGTAAGCAGGAAAATCTGTCGGAAATAATAAATGCAGCTATCAGACACAGCGTTCACAACACGATGCAGTCAGTGTGAATCTGAAACTATAAAATGATCAATCTATTAGACATTTTAAACTAATAGACATTTTAAAGTATAGGTGCTATTTTCTGCATGCAAGCTCCTGTAAGACATGCAAATGAAGAGTACAAAACAAAACTTCTTTGACTGACAACCTCGGAGGAGAGAGGGAAATAAAAGCAGATGTTTGTGGGAATGAAGATCGCACTAAGTTGAGCTGACTTACCGCCTGGACAGCACTTCTGACTCTGAAGGCCACAGCTGTCTGACTCAGGGGAGGGGAAGGAAGTAGGTTACCACAGAAGGGTGTGTGTGTGTGTGTGTGAGGCAGTGTGTATAAGGGGGAGGGATTGGCTGAAAACATAACTTATTATAGCAACACTCCCTCTGAATTATCCCCTCTGGGCTGTTCAGTTGAGACTGTAAAGCTGCATTCGCACAGACAGGATAAGTGCGTCTGTGAACATTACATAATGAAATTCAAATCACATTTGAGTAATAGGAACGACCATCTTGATGTTGGAATAGTTCTGAGCTAGAGGAGTCAACGCCATAAAGTCAGAGACGTTAGGATCTTGAAACATTGGGGGTCCAGTGTGTAACATTTAGGAGGATCTATTGGCAGAAATTGAATATAATATTCATAGGTATTGTTGTGTTTTCGTTACCTTAGAATAAGTTTTTATCTACAGAGGGAACGGGTCCTCTTCTACGGAGTCCGCCATATTGAATGGACAAACCAAACACTGGCTCTAGATGGGGCCTTTGCCGTTTTATGCGAGTTTTGATAAGAGTTTGTAACGATGTCAATATAGATTCTGCTTATCGGTCCATATGCCTTTTTGATTTCTGATTAATTTTCTGTGGAAAGTGTGCCTACACAGGTTTTAGACATCAATGCAACCGTTTTAATATCTCTGAGTCTGAACAGAGTGTAGAGAACGAGTAAAATTAAAGTAGTTTGAGTTTCTTCTTGAAATGAAGCCACATCCTGGACCGTTTCTTCCTCTCCATCGTCACTCCTCATTGCAAGTTTCCAGCAGTGTAGACACATGAGTTTGACATCATTGTTTTTCCTAACTGTCAGCACAACACAATGCTGGAATTGATAAAAGGTATTGATAAACTTGTGGATCGGATAATTTGGACCTGGTTCTCAACTGAAACTATAGTTCTTGATTCCCTTCCCTGTATACGATGTGACTGTGCTCCACCAGCTGTGTACATTAGGCTGGCTTTCACAACATGAAATCATGTTATTTTCAGCTGGAGGAGTAAAACCCTAAAAACACATAAGAGCCTTGGCATTGATGAAGCATGCTAGATTGTGTGTTGCCAAAGCTTTGTTCAGATTCGAAATTGACCAACCTCATAGCTTCTGTTCCTACTGTGAGACGAGGGCTCCTTTTGAAACTCTGTTAACTCTGTGTCTTATCTCTGATTCTCTGCTCTTCTTCACCTCTCCAGTACCTCTTCTTGTGTCTCATCTGTCTGTCGCCCTCCTCATCTCTTTTCCTCTAAAACCTCCACCATCTTGTAGCTTGTAGATGAGGAATCCTCACAACCTGACTCATCTGCTGCTACAGTGTGACGGCCCTAGGGATGGCCTTATTCTGTTCCTCTTGCTTGGATTGTTTACTCTTTGTTTCAGGAAGTAAGGGGCGGAGCTGAGATTCCTCCCTGATGCAGCTCACCTGAGCAGGCTGGGCTCAGGACGCTATAAATCAGACCTGCAAAGCTTTCTCACTCTCTTCCCCTGGCCTGCTGACTGAACTGTTGGTTTTTGTTTGTGTTCTGGCTTTTACATTTATACATATACACCTCACCCTTCACTCACACAGACATTGCAGACATACTGATTTACTGATAGACATATTAAACTGTATTGATTATTTTGGTATTTACTTAATTGAATTGTGTTAACAAGTCACAGACTGTGTGGTCTCCCTCTTTGTCACACTCTTTTGAGCCAGGTTGTGACAACAGCAACTGGAGATAATTCTTCCTCCACCTCCTCTAGCCCCGCCAGCCCTTCCTTGCCTTCATCCTTTTTCTTTTTGAAAAAGCTTCCTATGTCTATCTTCAAGTCTTTCCTTTGTTAATTAGCTAACTAGCTTCCACCAGATGCCAACAATGACAAGCCCTGTAACTGGCAGCACCCTCAGAAATGTTTGATCTGGGTGGCCAGCTGGGCCATGATTTTTCATAACAAATGTAAAATATCAATATATTGTACATTAGTTTAAAGCTGCAGTACGTCATTTTTATGAATTTTTTTTTATAATATCTGCTTAAACTTTCCCTATATCCTGACAGTAGTACACGAGACAGATAATTATTTCACAGATAAACTGTCTCATGTTCTACTGTCAGGATATAGTGAAAGTTTCAGCAAATATGACAAATAGGTTTTATTAAAGTTACTTACTGCAGCTTTAATAAACAGTGATTTAATTTCAAATCAATATACATTGATTTAAATTAATAGTATTACACATAAGGAGCATATTATGCATACAGCACTGATTACTCAGAATCATATCATAATTATCTAATTTGATCCAGGGCTATTCATTAAATATTCAGGGCTTTAGTCTTGGGTTGCCAACAACCCCACTACAGAAGACATAGACAAAATGACAAAATTGTCAAGCATGTTTGATACAGATGCTACTAAGATGCTGATTATGATACTCCAGCAACCACTGAGACTTGGAACAAAGGAATATATAAAGTCCAGTTTAAGCAACAGATGCATGACCTTTAAAGCCAAAACACTGCAAAGCAGTTCTGAGACAACCCACGAAATCAATTATTTTATCCTCAGTCTTGAAGATTGATCAGCTGACAGCAGATTACAAAGTAATATCCTGGTAAATTACAAAGTAATCTAATGTGTTGTAGATTAATACCACTCTAATGAATGCAGTATGAGATCAGCAGGACTGTTAAATCGCTTACTAGATGTAAGCTACTGGATAGTCTTGACCAATATTAGTTTGGCATCATCCATATTGGATGCATGTAGAGGTGTCCACATTAACTAAATGACTCTTGTAAAACTTAACAGCTCTGTCTGTATGTTACAGATGAGCATTATGCTGAGTGGAAATATTACTGTTTATAAACGATTTAAGATCTATAGACCGAAGAGTACAGCTCTGTATAATGCTGGTATCTCCACAATATTCCTATGTTTGGAACAAGGTTAAACTGACTTTACAATGACCTTATTTGTGTATTTTGTAATATATATGTTACCACAAAAATGACAAACTTTAACTTTATCTTTACTTAACTTACAAACAGTACTTTGGTTTATTCTTCCCCTACCAAATATGAGAAGTGTTGTATTTGCACAGTAATGTGTAATTTTACTTTTAGCAGTTTGTTGCAAATTGTGCTGTATGTTTCCCAACACTGCTCTGTTGCAGTCAGTTTTTCCCCCGTGGGATGGCTTTGTGATGTCATATCATGTCCACATCTGCATGTAGTTTTATGTATGACAGATTGTCAGTGGTATTCTGGTCTTTTGTAAAAGTAGTAATAGACCTACCGTGCTGTAAGACATACGGTTATAGTAAAGTACTGCATTCATAATTTGACCTAAACCCCCTACAAGGAACTCATTTTGTGTTGATTTGGGCGGCCCCAGTGGACAAAAGTGGTAGAGTTTCCAGCACCTTGTTTCACTGATCTCTATGGGAATCCGACAGTGAAATCTCAGTTCATTAATCATCATATGTCCATGTATTCATCCAAATACTTCTCAATTATACCCCAAAGTTTTGATATCAGTCAAATAAAAGATGTTATTGTTAACAACTTAATTACAGCTGTAACAGTTAGATTAGTTTATCAGTATTAAACTGAGACTGTATTATATCCAGTCAAAAACTTCAGTCCAGTATAAAAGTAGCAACATAAACAAATAAGGCCCTCTTAATGCCTGCCACTGGGATGTTTTTGTTCAGATTCCTATTAAAATCATGAAATGAGGCGGTGAAAAAACAACCCATTTTGCCAGAATCAACACAAAATAAAAGTTCCACGCTGCTGCTTTAAGTACAGTACTTTCACCACTGCAGAGTGTGTATTTTGGTAAATTATGTTTCACAGGGTGTGTCCTCCCCTTTCCCACTCTTAAGATTTGTCACACTGCAGTTGCTAAACACTTACTGTAAGAAATTAGACATATAGCATACTGCAGGTAACTGTGCAGGTGATTCAGTTGTAGTCAGCTTGCACAAGGCAGGGCAGTGGATAGCATAATGCTGTAAAGAGCCCTTTTTGAATAAAATATTAATAAAAGAAAGAAACGGTTGTTGAATTGAGAAAGTCAGCAGCAGATCTGACGGTGACAGGCTGAAACTGACGTCCGGGGAAGTTTTGAATCAAGTGTGAGGACTATTTTAAAAATGGCACGAGAATGACCAGAAATTGGGTCCTTTGAAGTCATGATGGCTTTCTCTCTGCAATTTCTTCTCCTCTGCCCATTTTTTCATGTGTGATCTTTGCCTTTAAGAACCTCAGCGGAGCTAACAGGAAGACGCTCGATAGCCAGAGTTATTGTGTTAAATCAGCTCACTGATATGTTCAATGTTGCTGCTCTGACCAACAGTCCCATCTCATAGGACAAAAAGAGATGCAGCCTTTTTCATTGGCAAAGCTTTTCTTCTTCCCAGTATTCTTCCTGGAAAGACAGACATTCCAAGTTAAAAAAAAGTTTTTTTTCCAAGTATCAGAAATCAGTTCTTGTAACCATCTTTGGAAACAAGCTGGAATTGCCTTCATTAGGATGTCTTTGAGAATCCGTTTTTTGGCTAGCAGTTCTCCCACCATCAAACCAGCTGACAGCAGTCAGTGATTGTGTATGATTTCTGTGGAAAGGCTTAGTTTGTTTAATTGCTTGGTTTGGGCTATACAAAATAAATCTAGCATTGGAACATCCCAAAATAAATGCAACAGGCTTACATCTTAAGTTTATCTTCAGTGGAAATGGAAGCATTTCTTTGGTAGAAAGTAGTTCCAATGAAAACTGTTCACAGAGAGGACACTGGGGAACAGTGTTAAATCATATTTCAATGCTGTGAGCTGCATGTGTCATTTCCGGTTAGTTTTGTTGTATTCATCAAAAGCTTTCATGAGTTTTTTTTTTTTTTTCAGTGTGTTTTTCAGGGTTCCCACACAATAAATAAATAAATAATTATCTAAACAGGCAAACCAAAAACATCTGAGCATACCCAAAAATGCATCAACACTCAGCCC